CGCAATCGGCGCTGGCAATGCACGTTTGTTGCAATTCTACTTTGATGATGCTGACTCGCCCCACGTAGCCTCGTCGCTAAACAGCGACCCTCGCCACCCCAGCGGGCGGCAGAGACCTCCTCCGCGTCGGCAGAGGCCTCCTGCAGGGATGCGTTGAGCTGCCAAGCGGGTCTTGCCCGCTTGCTGATGAGCTGTTGGCAAGCTGATGAGCCTAGCTGAGCTGAGCTCCAATGATGGGCTCAACTGAGCTCCTGGCGAACTTAGCTGAGTTCCGGACGAACTGAGTTTTCAATGCTGCAGTGTCCTCTTTTATGCCAAAATCCTTCCTGTTGGCTCCTCCCCACAAGGTGGGGCTTCTTTTGATTTAGCGGTGTGTCATGGTCTGGAGCATGTGTCCGTATGTGTGTTCGTCCATATGTGTGTCCTTGTGTGCGCCATTTACGGCATATTCTATTGTCCTCCTCTTTCCAAAAACCACCAAGAAGTAAAACAAACAGATGTTACAAATTGTTTCGAAGGCGTCCCTCTGTCTGCCGGTGCGAGAGGGAGGGCAAGCTTGGCTCCCTGCATGTCAATTCTCGACGCACAAAGGAATGGTTTAGGTTTTTAAAGTTAACATTATTCCATCACAGGTCGGTATCGCACCAGCCGCAGCCATAACTCTGTATGTAACACAAGGTCTGTGTCAGCTTTCCATTGTGGTGTTTGACCCATGTCAAGGGAAGGTGTTTTTTCCGAGCGTATGCACACTCCTACCCCGCGCTGTGGGGAGACAAAGACGGCCGGAATCTCTTTCTCTCTCTGACCCTGGGTTTAACATCGCTTACGTCATGTAGTTTATGTTTAACACAGTTGTGTAAGCGGAGTATAGTTTACAGTGAAAAGCGTTAACATTAATGTTATGTATGAAATTATACATGGTTCCTTTATTTCTCTTAAAACTTTGCCTGGGGTTTTTGCTGACACGCCGGCATTCCAAGCATCTCTTCCCCCCCCCTTATTCCGGCTCGCGCGGGGTCCGCCACCCTTTGCCCCCACTCTCTCTACTCGCACCGTTGTCCCGCTGACGCCGCCAATTCAATGCCTCATTAATTTCTGTCACTCTGTGTAGCTGCGGTGAGGGAGTGTTATCTTCGTTTTCAGCCTTGTTGAGTGCAGGTGGCAGCGATAATGAGTTGGTTGATTCATTCCACTCTTATGTCTAGCATCCCGATGTCAGCTTCACAAGCTGGCATTCATCTGCCTCTCTCTCCATGCCCTTGGGTTTTCCAGGCTTTTTGGCTTACGTTTGTGGTTTTGCTGTGCGCTTTTTTTTCTTCCTCTAACCTTATATTGACTCTGCTTATTATTCGCTTATATCTGGGGGTTAGAGAATTCATTTTGACTTAGGAAAATTCTGATTGTCATATGCTGCGGGTCAAGTTGTATAGACATTTTTAAACATGGAAATAACATTTCATATTGAATTAATAGATGGGTGATGGTTCAATGGTGTCGCTTGTGGCCTGGTTGCCAATTGGAGTGAGCATGAGGGTCGATAATTAGCCTATTCCCGTTGTTGAATTTCGAACTTTACGTTACTTAAATAGTAATGCAGGATAAATGGTTGGCTGTTTGCTTGGCCGTCTGTGGCTAGCACAAACTCTCAGTGACCCTGGCTTCGTGTTTACGTCAGTCTCTTGCAATTCGCTGCTCTGCACTCTGTCTGTTCTATTGACCCTGGGAGTTTGTAACGGTCAAAATCACGTCAGTAGGTCATGCTAAATGGCTTTTCATGACCTCCACATACCATGCTGAGGGCCTGGGTTGGGGTTTTTTTTTTTTTAAACAACAATATAAATATATGTATCGGAAAATTACTTGTTAATATTAAGATGGAAAAAGGGCCTATATACAACATTACGAACACAATTATTCGCAAATTTTGCCATAATGTCCACGTACTTTTTTTCTATCTCATCATTGTTTTCACCTCACCCGAATAATATTGTGGTCCAAACCCCCCTCTTCTCTACCTCCCCCTGTCTGCATGCTCTAAGTTTGTATTTAGTTGTTACCACCTCTCGTGTTTTGTCACCTCATCCTTCTAGGTGTCTACACAACCTCTTCTCTCATCCATCTACAACCAGGCCTACCCCAGCCTCTACACCTATCACTACCCCTATCACTATAACAACAACCTCTACCCCTATCACTACGCCCATCGCTACTGTCGCAGCCCTTACGACCCCCCCCCCCCCTCATTCTACCCCTCCCTCGGTTCGGCGCGGTGGATTGCTGGAGGGGCGATATCTCAGGGACAGGAGGGGAGGAGCCTGGATTGAGAGTGACAGGAGGGAGGAGGAACCAGGTGGGGCAGGATAGTGTGGCGGTGAGGGTGCCCGCGAGGTCGCCTCAAGTTTAATATTGAGAGAGGGGTGGACCGTGTGTGAAGGGCCTCCATCCTCTCAGCCTGTGCTGTTGCCGCTTCGGGGCGATGCGAGGCACACGAAAGGCATGACGCTGGGTTGCGTGAACGTTGAGATAGAGGCGCGGCACAAGAGATGTGGCCTGCAGCCACGTGGAAGCCCGACCTCGCCTGGTAAAAGCTTGGGAAAGGGCATCTTATGCGGTGTTGCAGGGAGCATAGTCATGGGTTTGGACAAGTCTGCTGAGCCTGGAGTTGCCAATGATTGATAGGCGGTAATAAGGTGGTCAGATATTTTTGAGTCAGAGAAAGAAACACAGACACAGGAGCAGGTTGAAAAACATTGTTGTTGTTATGCAGGTGGGCACACATGCGCCATGCCTCGGGAACTTATGAAATACTTTAAAAAAATGTTATCTGATCGTTTACGGCAGAGAGCTATTGGTGATATTTCAGTCTTCAGGTGAATTGGTTAACTGCTCGGGGTGTTTTACAAATGTCAACAGGTGTGCACTCAGAACATGATTTCAGAGGAGGTTCATTGTTTAGTGACGCCATCACTCGTGACTTTTTAAGAGCCTTTATTCAGACACAGCACTTACAATGCCCAGAGCTGGGTCTTGAGAACGTCCCATCTTGCCGAGCCCCTCTCTGGAAGCTTCTATCACCCCACTCCCTTCGGCCAATCCTGAACGTTCCCTACCAACGTTTCTCAACCATCCTTCTACAGTCGACCCTTGCTTCCTGCCTTTTTATCTTTCAAATATTTCCTCTAATCCCTTTAAATCTTGCCTCCAGACCAATCCCTGTGAAGGTCTCTCTACACCAATGGGAGGCCTTGGCCTACCTCCTGATTGTTTGTCTAACCATACACTTGTGTCAGATAAGCGGTCTGTTATCTTGGTCATTTTAATTGTAAAGGTACAGTACTGGTTATTTATTACATTTTACATTTAAGTTTTCAGGAAGAGAGTCCTGGAGCTGAGTTTTCAGTTAGATTTTTCGATACAGGAAGTGTATCATTGGATTTCCAGGGTTACAGGTGGAGCGGTACAGGAAGCATATTGACGGTTTTCCATTGTAATCAACCACTATAATCGTATTTACAATTATATAATTGCTCGATAGTGTCTTGGAAAAAGGTGCTATATATTTAAATCGATATAAGATTGACATCCTCATCGACACGGTTCTTCTGCAGAGATGGAGTTCACCTCTCCGGTACTCACGATCAGTGGCGTCGATGGAGGCAGCTCCACACTGCACTGCTTCAATTCAAGTCCCACGGTGCAACCGCGACGCGTGACGTGGTACAAGAACTACCCGGACGAGAAGCTCGCCTCTTGGGATGGGGCAGGAGGCGTGGTGTACCCCCCTCACAGAGGGAAGCTCTGGCACTTCCGCCTGGGAGTTGAGGGAATGAAGTGGAGCCTGGAGCTGAATACCACGCGGCATGATGACGCTGGCCTGTACGCTTGCGATGCGGAGTTGGAGGACGGACGGGAGGAGGTCACGGTAGTGCGTCTGAGCGTCATGCACGGTGACTCCCATAACGTGAACATTTGTCACTAGTATGCTGCACCAAGAAAAGACAAAGATCTCCCGTATAGCTATTAATATACTTTAGGGGAAAGTGCTGCTAGCGAGTACCTATGAAGGCTGGCACGGCACATGAGGGGGTGGGTGGCCAGCGGCACACCCTCCCGTCTTTGCCTCCGCAGTGGCGATGTTGACACACCACACCAGGTAATCGATTGAGGCTGAGTAGAGCTATCGGAGGCCCAGGACCAGTTCAGATAATCGCTATCACTGGTGTTGGTGGCCATGAGTGGTAATCGAACTCAAAGCGCAGCATAGTGCTAACCGCTGAACCACTCCTACCACCGTTTTTCACCACCACCATTAACATAATCATCATCATCACCCATGTCTCTACTGGTACCAAATAAATCCACATGACCACGACGAGATTTACACACCGACTCGAAATATACAGCAGGTGTCAGGGTGGAGATTTGAACCCACGACCTTCTGTATACCAGGCAAGGGAGTTAACATCTCGCCACCCAGGTACCCCCATTTATTATGACCTCACAGGGACATCATTGTAGATACGAACAAGTCGTAATTTATATATTTGGAGGTACGCTTTTACGAGCAACATTACAATTTAATTTCGCTTAGTTTGGGTTAAAGCATGTAGTAGGTACAATATCAGGCAATGTTTAACTATATCCCTGCCCCACCCGACTGAGGCAGTCAAATCAAGTAGTCACGTGGACAATTGTGTAGATTGGTTTGGTTTGATACCAAAACTACCGGAACGTTGAATGCAAGCAAAATATTTACAATTTTACACAAAACATCATTCAAAATCATTGGGCGTTATCAAGAACACTCATCTCGTAAACAAGAGATTGTTCTACAATAAATTGGTGATAACAATGTGCACCATAGCATTTGCAAGGTATACAGTAGAAGGAAAATAAATATGTGGACAGAGATGAAGATGGTGAGACATTTTCGTCATTGAAACTTGGAGGGACAGCGTTAAGTTGACGTTTAAGCCAAGTTTAAACTTGCAAAATAAGCAGTTTTTTCTTGATTTGGTTGTCCCACCTGATGACGATTGCTTGTGTTGCGATCGAAACGTCGTGATCTATTATTTTTCTACCTACGTGACTTTACCGAAAGAACCAAATAGAAAGTGGAGTAAGTTTAATCGTTACAGTCATGAAAATTCAATCACCTTAAGATGTGAATGTGAATCGTTGTCTCTTTGCATGTTGCAGCTTGCCGGATCGTCTTGACAAATGAAGAGAAACCGAAAACGTTGGGTGACTCCGTTCTGTTTACGGCTCACATAACCACACCTCCGAAATGCACACTCAAGACCATCATGTGGACCAAGGCCTCATACATTGACAGAGCCAAATGGACGTCATATAAGGTCCAGATCGCATCATTCAACAGCTCGACGCATGTGCACTCGCACTACAGGGGGAGAGCCTGGATCTACGGTGACAACTCCTCCAACTTCTCACTCTCCATTGAAGCGCTCACAGCAGATGACGCTGGATACTACAAAGTTACAGCCGTGTGGGACTCGGACGATGGGGAACTGCGATCTGAGAGCCAACAGTTCCTAGCTGTTCATGAAGGTAACAAGATGGCCTTGGACCTGAGTACCTGCAGTCCCGTCTGACCCCCCAGACATCTGGTAGATACATATCTTGTGCATCTCAGGCCAGGGTCTGCTAGCTCAACCTATATTTTAGTAGTAGCAGCTTGTCGATTGCAGTGCCTAAGATCTGAAACTCACTTCTGCCGGCCTCTTAGATCCGCTCCGAGCACTGAACAGTTCAGGAAACTCTGCAATACATTTTTTCTTCCTTTTAGCGTTTCCTTGAGCATGACCTCTCCTTTTGATATTTTTATGTGTGCCTTGATTGTATAGGTAGGACTAGCTTCGTTTACTTTATACTGTAAAGTATTGTGATGCCCTCTTTAGTGGGGGCGAGTTCTTACTAAAAAAAATAATTAATGAATGGAAATCACTCAGTCATGAGTGGTACGAGTGTGATAGCAGGGCAATGAGATGGGATCACTTGTAGGTTAATTACAGTATTAACATTAAGTTTGTTTACCAAGGGAACCCTCACTGAATTGTACAACAAAACGATTTGAACTAAACCAATTTTGTATCTTACCAGGTAAGGTCCCCACCGAGTTATGTAGCTATTTTCCACAAGTTACCTGGCCACGAACGATAGCAGCCCAACGAAGTGGCTTATGTGGCCATTTTTAGCAGCAGCCAAATACTATAAGCACGTGACCGTTGATTCTAAAACCGGAGAACCCAGATAAAATTCCACACGACCACCACGGGGGAGAGATACACTCAAAACTCCAAATATACAGCAGGCATCGTCAAGATCTGGATCAAAACCACGACTTCCTGCATACCAGGAGAAGTAGATACCATCTCATAGCCACCGTGGCGCCCATTACAATTGCCTTTTAGGAGAGCCCTGCCACATTTTCACAGTGCCTAGACACCCGTATACCCAAGCCGTTTCTGTTTGTCCAGATAAGAGGGGCCTAAATGGGTGCGGCACAGGCTGGAGAAGAGATGGGCTGATGCGATATGGGAGGATGTGGAGCTGAGTGGACATGCCGACAACTGGTACTAGCGTTCTCAAGATCGGCCTCTATGGAGGAGGCTCATGAAGGACGCTGCTGGGCAGTTGAAGGCAGTTGCCCTCCAGCAACAACGGAGGGCAGAGGAGCGATGCTCAAAACAATGAGCGATGCACCGAGCAGCTAAAATGCAGCAAGGTGGCACAGTCGGAGGTACAGCTGGTCATCTCAATCACCCGACCCAAGACGCCTTGGTCTGTTCCGATACCTCCTGTCAGCGAGCCTTTGACACTTCACGTGGTCTCAAAGTGCACCTGTCCTGGCATAGGCGGCGTGGTGATATCACCGTCACAAAGTGGCGAATGGCGGGTATTGGTATTGGTGTACCCGTGTGTGTGTGTGTGTGCCTATGTGTGTGTTTTACCTCTTTGTCTCTCTGTGCTCCCTCGCAGGCTGTGAGGTTTACACCCCGCGAGATTCACTTCGCTGCACTCCTGGGGAGACGGTGACGCTCCCGTGCCAGGCGTACTCTCCGCTCTGTGCCCTCGACACGATCACATGGTTCAAGGTCACCTCAGAGAAACTGCCAATTGTGAGAAGCATGAAGACCCGCAATAACCACACGGAAGCTGGGTACAAGGGCAGGGTCCACCTGGCCGCCTTGGGAGCACACGACGCCTCCCTGATCCTCACCGACGTCACGCTCAACGACAGTGTAATCTACGAGTGCCAACATCGATGGGGACACGAGAACAAAATCCATTCCAGCAAAGCGACCGTGACGCTTGCGGTCCAACACGAGTTGATGCCGAAGCCCCGGGGTAAGGACGATTCTTGAGAGTGAGTTTCACGGTGTTGGCCATGGGTGGGGGAGAGGTACAACGTCATCAAAACAGACTCAGGCTACCGACCCAGCTACGTGAGTTTGATTCCAGGTGGCGGACTAACATCAGCGGTGAGCGATATCTGAATCTGCCCGAGTGCGCCCTTCCCCTCAGGCGTGAAGTATTACTGAGCTGCTATGCAGCACTTTTTTTAGCAGTGACCTGGTGATCACAAATAATAGCTAACAAAATGGCTGATATCATCATCAGTATCACGTGGAAATATATAGCATTCCAAATACTCTAGTGATGTTGATTCTAAATGTGGACGGAAAAAAAAACAGAGGAACCAGAGAAAAATCTATGGGACAAAGGGGAGAGAGGCACACAAACTCCAATTAAAAACCAGGCATCAGGGTTGGGATCGAACCCACGACCTCCTGCATACCAAGCGAATGAGTTAACATCTCCTAGCCACTGTGATGATGACAGAGAGACATGCAAACTCCAAATATACAGCAGGCGTCAGGTTCGGAAAATCGAACCAATGACCTCCTGCATACCAGGCGAGGGAGTTAGCATCTCCTAGCCACCGTGATGATGATGAGAGAGAGACATGCAACTTCAAATATTAGAGCAGCCATCGTCAGGGTCGGGATCGAACCCCCAACCTAATTATAATAGTCAGAACCTCTATTTTATGAAGCGCCTTTTATATTTGATGTATCTCAAAGCGCTGTATGTAAAATAACAACTCCACTCACAAGTATAGCAGATGCAATCTAAGCGAATCAGAAAGCTGCCATGAACAACATCAATGACTACACACACGAAATTCCAATAACATGAAGAACTGTGATGAAAGCGAATAATAGCACTGGTCTGCAGCCAAAATGCTTTGGAAATAAACGTAGTCCAATTTTACTAATGCTGGGTGACTGAGAATGAAAATGATGCTTAAAATTGTTGATTGTCTCCAGATGATTTACTTGTCAGTTTCGATGTAGTCTCCCTGTTCACTAAGCACCTTTACCTGATACCATTGCAATCATTGAAAACTGGTCCAACAGGGACTGAATCCAAATGTACCAACTTTGGTAAGGCACTGCCTTACCAACACTTAATTCACCTGGAATGGTACATTCTTCAAATAAAATGAGGGTACCCCAATGGGTTCTCCCTTATTGCCAGTGGTAGCGAATGTTTTCATAGAGAAATTTGAGACATGCCATCCAGACATCCACCCTACGTCCTTCCTTGTGGTAGAGATACGTAGATAACACGTTCGTCATCTGGCCACATGGCCTGCCAGCACTGAACCAATGTCTCAACCACATCAATTCCATACACCCATCTTTCAAATTCACCATGGAAGTGGAAAAGGATGGCAAGCTACCATTCCTGGATGTTTTGACCGAGAAGAGACCTAATGGCTCGTTGGGACACTGTCTACAGGAAAGCCACCCACACGGATGTCTATCTAAAGCCTGAATCCCACCACCACCCAGCCCAGAAGAATTCCCTCATCAAAACACTACACCATAGCGCCCATTGCATTTCCGACCAGCATCACCTAGCCAGTGAGCTGGAGCACGTACACCAAACTCTCAGGATGAATGGATATTCTGACCGTACAATCCACAAAGCTGTCTCATCAGCCATGCGATCTGAAAGTCACCGTAAACGTGAACACAATCAATCAAGAACCGAAATGGTTTATCACGTCCTTCCAATGATTGCTGAGCCAGAATCCATCTTCTTGGTTGAAATTGTGTTTGTATATGTGGATGACTTGCAGAGAACCTCCGTCTTGGAGACGTCAATGTCATGTGAGCCCACTGAATTATAACAATGGTCTGCCACGGCTGAGGTGTTGGTACTACCGTGTTTCAGGTTTGCTTGTGTTCACGGATGCAGTCCGAGACATGCCGTTTGGTTTCTCCAATGTAACTGCTACCACAGAGGCAGCTTAGTTTGTAGACGCCAGGGTACTGTATGTCTGGAATCACATCTTTTACAGACAGGACCAGTTCACAGATTTATGTACTGTGTTGAATCGGACCTGGTACTTGTGTTTATTCAGGATTTTGGAGATATTTTTGTGACCCCCGCAATGTAGGGTAAGGTGATGGTTTTGAATGACTCCTCAAGAGGATCCTTCTTCATTGTTGGAGTGATGGCTTTGCAGATTGTGTAGTCGAAGTAACCATTAGCATTGAGAGCTTGGTGTACGTGCTTGAGTTCACTGGTAACATGTTCTTGTTTGGAGATGCATTGGGCTCTATGGTGTAGAGTCTTGATGAGGGAATTCTTCTGGGATGGATGGTAGTGGGAATCCGGTTTGAGGTAAGCATTCGTATTGGTAGCTTTCCTAAAGACAGAATGGCTCATTAAACAATTAGGTCTCTTTTTTATTAGGACATCCAATAAGGGTAGCTTGCCATCTTTTTCGACTTCCAAGGTAAATCTGATGGCTGGGTGTATGGAATTGATGTGGTCGAGGAATTGGTCTAGAGCAGGCCGGCCATGTGGCCAGATGACAAATGTGTCATCCACATACCTCTTCCATAAGGTTGGGCGTAGAGTGGCAGTTTGGATGGCGTCATTCTCAAATTTCTCCATGAAAATGTTGACTACAACCGGAGATAGGGGGGAGCCCATTGGGGTGCCCTCAGTTTGTTTGTAGAAAGTTCCATTCCAGGTGAAGTATGTATTGGTTAAGCAGTGTCTAACCAGGTTGGGGGGGTACCTCAGTGTTCAGTCATTGATGAACCAAGTCTTCAATGATTGCGATGGTGTCAGGTACAGGAACTTTGGTGAATAAGGAAACCACATCAAAACTGACAAGCAGGTCATCTGGGGACAGGGAAATACCCTTGATTGTTGCTACCAGGTGAATAGAGTTTAGTACCGCAAGGGTGTTTTTTTCCAGTGAAAGGCCGCAGGATTTCAGACAAAAAACTAGCCAGTTTTTAGGGGGGAGTTGATAGTAGAGACGATGGGACGAAGGGGTGTATCTTCTTAATATATCTTTGATAAGCTATATAATCTTGGTGGCCTGGCAGCAGAAGGTTTCAACGATAACTGTTTGGTTTGATCAATGAATGTGGTTGAATCAGAAATGATTTGTTGGTTTATATAACGAGGCTGTTGGTGGGGTCTCTTTTTATTTTTGTATAGCTGCCATCGTTGAGTAGTTCTTGAATTTTGTTGTTATATTATATTTTATCCATGATGACAGTGGCATTGCCCTTGTTGGCTGAGAGGGTGACAATGTCATCCCTCTTTTTTAATTGAGATAATTAAAAACGCTCATCTTTGCTGATGTTGCTAGCTGGCATCTTAGCGTTTTTGAGGGTTGCAGCAATTTCAGATCTTGCTACGTCTGCAGCGATGTGACCCAGGCCTTTGAGAGCCACGTCTACTTGGGCAATGATATCATTAACTGGTATGTGTCTAGGTGTGACTGCAAAGTTTAGCCCTTTAGCTAAAACGGATTTCAGACCATCGGAAATAGAACTGTTACTGCGAGTAATTACGACTTTGTTAACGTCTAGCTTTTCGGTGTGTGGGTCTGGTCTCTTGTTGGAAAGGAGGTTAAATTTGGAAATCAAGTTTTCCTTACATTTGGTCGACATAGTCGCAGCTGAAGCAGCAGTCATTGTCTACATGATCCAAATCCAATGAGGACATTGGTGCCGTCAATGATAAGTGTGATTTGTAGAGTGTCTTGTCTAACTGATCTAGTTCCGTGCGCATAAGTCGGGTTTTCTCTGAGATAAGAGCTAAGCTAGTTCTAAACAGAATTCGTTTCGCATTATGAGAAGTTACAGCATCAGAGGTTAGTGTAAATGCGATTGGTATTGCCTTAGAGTCGCGGCATCTCTTCAGAAAGGTGAGAGACTCGATTAGCTGAGCCTGTTTGTTGAAGGATCTCAAAGTTATGTGGAGTTCCTTAAAAAAACTCCGGGATAAGAAGGCTCAGCTAATCGAGTATCTCACCTTTCTGAAGAGATGCCGCGACTCTAAGGTAATACCAATCGCATTTACATTATGTAAACTCCTTTGTCAAGGCGCTCTCCTCCTCTCACCCAGCTTAAAATACGCTGCCAAGCTTAGCAGTGTTCATTAGGACGCTGTCTTTCCGACAGCTCTTTTCTTCACCTGAGGACGGCTGCTTGCATTGTGGCCGAAACGTCATGATAATTTTATTTTATGATTTCCCTTCTACGTAGCTTTACCGAAAGAACCAAGAATATAATGGGATAGTCGTGCGAGAAATTCCCACTACATCAAGATAGATTGGCCACTCTGACAGTTATTGGAGCCTGGGAGGAAAGGTGTTTAGCATCCACCATTTGTTGAATCAAGGGAGATTTTGTTACCACCCTTATACATCAAGCTGGGTCTGATGAAGAACTTTGTAAAAGCCATGGACAAAACACAAGCAGCTTTCAAGTACCTCCGTGGAAAATTTCCAAGGTTAAGTGAAGCTAAGATAAAGGAAGGTGTCTTTGTTGGTCCTCAGATTCGTGAACTTCTTTGAGATTATGCATTTGGCAGTGCACTGCGTGGCAAGGAAAAGACGGCATGGAAAGCCTTCCAGTTCGTGCAACAAATTTTCTCGGAAACAGCAAGGCAGACAACTACAAGGAATTGGCGGAGAACCTGCTCAAGGCACGAAAGGTCCACTTTCGAGTGACTTCACCAGGACATTGCAACAATGGAGAAACGCTATCAGGGCAAATGGAGCCCAATCAATGCTTGCAGACTTGCTGGACAGTGACAAGAGATGCTCTATTTAATGAATACAAGAGACAACCAAGAAGCACCGAGTAGACACTGAATAAGGACTAAACTATGTACGTACATATACACGATAGTTTTTTGCCTTTTGTTTCATAATACATTTTATGTATATAACCATTTTGATGATTTTTTTAAGTGTTACATGAACAGGACAGGTGACTTGTTATTATTTAAAGAAACCATAAACACATGATTAGACCTAGGTTTACAATTTACAAATAAAACTCGACTATCTACACAATATACATAGATGTAAAATGTAAACACTTAATATCTTGGGAACAGTAGCAGTTACATTGGAGAAACCAAACGACATGTCTCCGACCGTATCCATGAACACAAAGCAGACCTGAAACACGATAGGACGAACACCTCAGCCATGGCAGATCACTGTTATAATTCAGTGAGCTCACATGACATTGACTTCTCCAAGACGGAGGTTCTCTGCAAGCCATCCGGCTACCATGAGAGATTCGTTCATGAGGCCATCCACATATACAAACACAGAGACAATTTCAACTGAGAAGATGGATTCTGGCTCAGTAATAATTGGAAAGATGTGATAAACCATTTCGGTTCTTGATTGATTATGTTTTACGGTGACTTTCAGACCACAGGCCATTCGCTGGCATTGCCTCTTAGTACCTTTCACACGACGGTCAATGGTATGGTTTATAGCATATTGTATAATAATAAATAGTATAACAGTGTAATGTTTATATTCTTAGCTCTTTCGGTAAAGTCACGTTGAAGGGATACAATAAAATAATAAAATATATAAAACAATAAAAATTCTCACGACGTTTCGACCATAACACAAATGGTCGTCATCAGGTGTGTCGGTTTGCATAAATTTATTTATTTTTAAACGGTGTATTTATTTCTTTCTGAAAAAAACGTTAGCGTCACGCGCAGCGATTTGGCAGTTTATTTAGAAGGACTAGTCCATCTATGTTCTGAAAAGAGGAGGGGGGAGACGAAAAATTAATGTATGCTGTCTGAAAGCCACTATAAGCGTGAACAATCAATTAAGACCTGAAATGGTTAATCAAATCTTTCCAATGATTGCTAAGCCAGAATCCATCTTCTCGGTTGAAATTGTCTCTGTGCTTGTGTATGTGGATAGCCTCATGAACGAATCTCTCATGGTAGCCAGATGGCTTACATATATTTTATTATTTTATTGTTTCCCTTCAACGTGACTTTACCGATAGAGCTAAGAATATGAATTACTGCAGTCACGAAAGCTTTAAATCAAAATTTAGTGTAATGTTTAATATAATTTATAAGGTAATATATAGTTTCGTAATTGTATAGTGAATATACAGCAGTGTGGTATACAGTAGGGTTGATAAAATAATACATAGTGCAATATTGCAAGTCTAATATTATTATAGTCTAAAGTATAGGGTAGTGTATAGTAACGCAGTGTATAATTAAATGTTGGGGTCTGTCTATGGCAGTTTATAATACGGGGTATAGTCGTGAGATGTAAGAAAAAAGATTAGTTGGAGGCATTTTATAATAATTTTTGCAACATAGAAGTGTAATGTATAATGACTTATTGTTCGTAGCTCAGCTTATTGGAGAGTATATTGAGCATATTGATGATATTGATGTAGTTTATATTTAATTTTGTATCGGTTCACTATATGGTAGTCATTATATAGTGTAGTGTATACCCAGTTACTTAATGTTAATAGCTCAATTCATTGGAGAATATATTGAGTACATTTATTATATTGATGTAGTTTATATTTAGTTCTTTCACATCGGTTTATTGTATGATAGTTGGGTAGTTGCAGTTCTTTAGCGTTCATATAATAAATGCCTATATTGATATGTAAACTCTGACTTTAACATAGTCACTTCCGTGGCCAGTTACATGCTAATTCCTCACATTAACATGTTAATCTCCCAGTTACATGCTAATTTCTCACCTTAACATCCTGCAAATCTCTTAGTACTTTTCGGTGTAATGTTTAATACAAGTAATTTGGTAATATATAGTATCGTAATTGTATAGTGAATATACAGCAGTGTGGTATACAGTAGGGTTGGTAAAACAATACATAGTGTAATATTACAAGTTTAATATTATTATAATCTAAGGTATAGGGTAGTGTATAGTAACGCAGTGTATAATTAAATGTTGGGGTCTGTCTATGGCAGCTTATAATAAAAATATTAGTTGGAGGCATATTATAATAATTTTTGCGACATATAAGTGTAATGTAAAATTACTTATTGTTATCCTTCTACATCATTAGACCTCCTTTGCCAGTACCAAAATGTAATAATAGGGGTTTTCCCCTTTTTTCTGGAAACAAAACTGAAATCTTTTTACGAGGATTCATGTCTGCATTAACCACAATACCTGCAGTCAAAATGCAAACAAAAAACATACTATGATAATATATTCATTGTCCTTGAAACTGATTGATCCACACCAAGGGACGGCTTTCTTTTGAGCCTCGACCCAATTGGTGCTCGATCAGATGACGCCAAAAGGTGTACTGCTCAAAGACAATGCACTATCATAGTAATGAGGGCTCGGGGTGAGCATCTACATCATTAGACCTCCTTTGCCAGTACCAAAATGTAACAATAGGATTTATCCCCTTTTTTCTGGCAACAAAACTGAAACCTTTTTACTAGGATTCATGTCTGCATTAAGCACAATACCTGCAGTAAAAATGCAAACAAAAAACATACTATGATAATATATGCATTGTCCTTGAAACTGATTGGTCCACACCAAGGGACGGCTTTCTTTTGAGCCTCGACCCAATTGGTGCTCGACCAGATGACGCCAAAAGGCGTACAGCTATTACATTTTGGTACTGGCAAAGGAGGTCTAATGATGTAGATGCTCACCCCGAGCCCTCATTACTTTGATAGTGCATTGTCTTTGAGCTGTGTGCCTTTTGGCGTCTGTTAGTAGCTCAGCTTAGTGGAGAATATATTGAGTACATTGATCATATTGATGTAGTTTATATTTATTATTTCACATCGGTTTATTGTATGATAGTTGGGTAGTTGCAGTTTTAATATACTAAATGCCTCTGTTGATATGTAAACTCTAACTTTAACATAGCTACTTCCGTGACCAGTTACATGCTAATTCCTCACACTAACATCATGTTAATCCCCCAGTTAAATGCTACTTTCTGACTTTAACATTCTGCTAATCTCTCACATTAACACAGCTACTTCAATGCTAAATTATTCTGTTGATATGTAAACTCCTTTGTCAAGGCGCTCTGCTCCTCCCACCCAACTTGAAATACGCTGCCAAGCTTAGCAGTGTTCATTGGAGAGCTGTCTTTCCGAGAGTTCTGTTTCTTCACCTGAGGATGGCTACTTGTGTTGTGGCTGAAACGTCGTGAGAATTTTATTTTATTATGTTTTATTTTCATTATTTTATTATTTCCCTTCTACGTTACCTTACCGAAAGAACCACGAAGAAGAAGTAGCCAATCAGTTGTTTTAATTGTCATATTTGAATTCAGTACATCAAAATCCATAATAAACAGCACATTTCATCCCTGAAGCAGACGACGTCTAAAAAATTGTAGACCAGTGTGATTGCAGAGCAATCCAATAAGATGACAAGAATTGGATTTTTAAAAAGCTTAAGTTACAGGGAAAGCCCGCAGGTACACATCGATGAGTTTTTTAGACGGTGACTTTACAAAGTGAAGCAGACTCAGTAGAGTCACTCACGGACTGAGGGAAGAGGATTCCATAATCTTTGGATTAAAACAATTATATGTTTAGTTGTTATCTTCACTTCACACGTTGGTCGCGTTCACCGTTCAAGCCTTAAGCTTGAGCGGCATTTGACCTCGAACTGCAACGCCAGTGCCCTCTGGCGGTGGTCACAGTTTATTTTTCCATCCACATTTATAATCAACATCACTCGGTTAGAGTATTTGGCTGCTATACATTTCCACGTGATGCTGCTGATGATACCAGCCACTTCGTTGAGCTATCGTTTGTGATAGCCAGGACACTGCTAAAAAAGAGATACATAGCAACTCAGTAGTGGGGCTTTACCTGGTAAAATTAAAATAATAGTTGAATTTTAGTTTCTAACCGTGACTTCGAGTCAGCTCACTCGAGGCACAGAGTCGAGTTTGAGTGGAGGCACGACAAAGACAACGCCTTTTAAGTGTGGAAACGGAGGTCCAGTGAAATTACTTGAGAATTAGTTGTGTTGTGTGTGTGTATTGATTGTGTGTGGGTGTGTTTGTGTGTGGTGTTTGCGTGTGGTGTGTGTGTGCTGTGTGTGTGGTGTGTGTAGCGTATGTAGTGTATGTGTAGGATGTGTGTGTGATGTGTGTGTGTGTGGGGAATCATTCACTGGCGCCATTCTCTAACACGTCCGTGTCGTTTTGTTCCCAGACAAGACCACTGAAAGTGCCGCTGCCTCAGCCACCCCGAGTAGAGGAGGAGGAAGTCTCACTCGAGGTATTCACACCGACAGACCAGAATTGATACAGCGCGTCCAATACATTCCCACGGGATGATGATATCAGCCACTTTGTTGAGCTATCGTTTGTGATGGCCAGGTCGCTTCTGAAAAAGAGCTAGACAGAGACTCCTCTTCTTACGAACGAGTTAGGTTCCAGAGGTCTGTTCGTAAGTGTTCCTCAGTCAAACTGTACTCCGGTCGATTCCAAACATGTTGTACGACATGTACACTCAACACGTGGAATGGCTTTATGAGATGTATAATCTCCTGTAGATGTAGATGCCACTGGTTCTTCACGTTCTGTAGATGTAGATGTTACTACCCTTTGGTGCTCGTGTTTCCTCTCCACTCTCTTGAATGTTTTACCAAGAGATGTCTGCACAGTTGCTCTCTTCACAAATCAACTTGTAACAGGCAATACCATCGTGAGCAGCTGCAACAGGACATACGGACAGGTTTGTACGTATCTCTTAAAGTTCCTAAATGGAATATAGAGGAGTCCCTGTATGTTGAGGCTGTGGCTAGCGGTGTATCTATTGTGAGTCTGTCTATCCGTCCGTCTTCTCGCTGCAGTTCACGACCTCACTTTACACATCATCTCTGCGGTGCTGGTCTCTGCCGGCGTGGCGCTGATTGTCCTGTTGTACTTCGCACGTAAGTCTGAACTCCTACAAATTAAACTTGTAAATTATAACCTATTTTTTTTTATTTTACCAGGTGTTTGGCCAACTACTGAGCTATGTAGCTTTTTCCAGATGCGAGCCGGTTATCACAAATGACAGCTGCTCAAGGACGTGGCTGGTATCATCGTCATCACGTGAAAATGTATAGCAGCAGCCAAACGCACTAAACGCTCGTTTCTAAGTGTGGAGGGAAAAAAAACCGGAGGACCCGGAGAAAAATCAAGGCGACCACTGCAGAGAGATGGAGACGCAGACTCCAAATATACAGCAGCAGGCATCGTCAGGGTCGGGATCGAACCCACGACCTCCTGCATAACAGGGCGAGGTAGTTAACATCTCCTAGCCATCGTGAGCGCCCATTTGCTGCCAAGTTGACTCCGAATCTGCAAGGTCTGCCCTTACAATCTCATCACCACCACCTGGAATATAAAAGTTCATGCGTATGTTTGTAGTGTGTAGTGTGGTGTATGTACTTACAAAAAAATCCGCAGACTACCTGCTGGATTTCCTCTCTGTTTCAAAGAACAAATTTGACCTCAGGTCTTCGCTCATTTACCAGCTTCACATTCCCTATTGCCGTACAAAAACTGGAGGAAGGGCCTTTGCTATTGATGCCCCCAGGGTCTGGAATGATATTGCCAATAAACTGCAACTTGAATCACTACCTATGAGATCTTCACTCGAAACTACTCTCGGGGAGTTGTACACCCCTAGTTGCCACTGCTATTCAGTGGCCTAAAATAAAATAAAATGTTTCGCTCCGGAAGACCGCTGCAAAGTATTATCTGTATTTTGATTTAGTGTGCTGATCTTAAAGGTGCATTGAAAAATGTAATACTCCAACTGATGCTTTTGTTGTTGTGGAGTGACTAATTCAGCCAGCTATGGCTCTAGGGTTTGGTGTTACATGTTATTTATGTAGTTTATTGTTAAAAATTCGGTCACAGTCCCTTTGATCACTGTTACATTGCATTTATGGCTTTTTTTGGTGATTTCGAAAAGTGTTTTTGTTTGGCCACGTTTGTTTGTTGTAGTACGGAGTTAGACTGATGGCCTAAATCTAAGTTGTCTTGTGGTTGTTGTTGTTTGACTTGCATCCCACTGGGATTTTTGCACACATCGTTCGTGCACGGTGCTTTTTCAGGAATATGTTGCTGTTTTTTCCTGGAATTTCTGTTTGCACAGTCACATAGTCACTTTACGATGTTTTCTTGTTCATGTTTTTTTTGTTTGTTGCGGTTGCACCCGATTCAAGAGCCGAATGGCTCACAGGGCTATACCAAATAAATGAAACTGAAAAATTGAAAATGAAACTGTATAGTGTAGCGTATAGTCGTGTATAGTGCAGTGTACAGTGGCTTCCTAGTATCGGAAGGAAGAGCACTCCAGACGGTCGCAGAAGCAGCGCATCTGAAAGTGCTGCGCGAAGATGCGGTGACCACCATCTTTGTTTTTTGGCCAACCAAAAGTGGAGTGTATAGTACAGTGTATAGTAATGTATATTGTCGTGTATAGTGTTGTGTATAGTGGTGTATAGATGTGTATAGTGTAGTGCATAGTGTAGTGTATAGTAGTGTATAATGTAGTGCATAGTGTAGTGTATAGCAGTGTATAGTAGTATAGTGTAGAGTGTAGTGTATCTATAGTGTATAGTGTAATCTATATAGCAACTGAAAGCGCCACACGATGATGCGATGACCATAGTCTTTGTCCGATGGCTAGCAGCCACAAGAAGGCTCAGTGTAAAGACTCTGTGTAGAGTTCAATGTAGCTGATAACACAACTCTGCCTGTCTGCCTGATGATATTAGTTGACGTAAATACTGGCGAAACGTCACGGTATTATAATTGTAAATGTTGTCGTGGGTTTACTCTCGAACACACAACTGGTGTGCTGTACTAATAACGAATTGACCTGTTTTGTTTACGTGACAAACCCCTTAATAATTGGTTGTGTCAGGTGGTGGTGGGTTTAATGACACACTCATACTTGCCCAATGTAACCCAAACAAACCTCTATCATGGATAATATTGGTCGCGAAAGGCTGCGACGTGTTAAACTGTAAACTATCAGTTTTTATTTTTGTTTTCTCTGTAAAGGGAAGAAGCTGCTGGGCTGTGCTTCCAACTGCCTGGCCAAGCACACTCGCTCAAAGGCCAACATAGATGTGAGTTTAAAGCACGCACCATTCTAATTTCCCTGAAACAGACATGACTTGGCCTCACTGGCTCAGTGATAATGGGCAATGCCATCTCTCATAGGAAAAACACTCTCCCAAAGCAGCCGAATAATGTATAGCAGTGTTTTTTCTTCTTAACCTAGGCTTCTGTGGGTGCGAGACATGGCCAGATTGTTTTAGAAGTAAATAATCAAAACACAAATTAAGACAAGGGGTACATAAGTACCACTACTTTGTTTAATTAAACCCTTTAATCTTGATTTGAAGCTTTCGTGACTGCAGGAATCCATACTCTTTGGTTATTTCGTTAAAGTCACGTAGGTATAAAATTAAATAAATCACGACGTTACGGGCGCAACACGTGTCCATCATTAGGTGGGAAAGCATGGTCTGCTGCTGAGGTAGACTGTTTTTAAAAGGTTTGAAATGGGTGTAGCTCAAGGGTGATAAAGAAGTGGCCGGGGCTAGTGATGCTAATGTGAGAAATTAGCATGTAACTGTAAGATAAGAGGAGAGTGGCCTCCTAGACGAGGGCACGGAAGTGGCTATGTTAATGAAAACATGTCTTTTTTACAATTGCGAACCAAATGGGTGCAAGGCTGAACTAAAGGTTTGGAACCACTGAACTAAGCAAATTTATTATTCCCAAACTATATTCGAACATTGCATGCATAACGTGCACAGTATGTGGAATACAAATGCATCACTCCATATATTGCTTTTTGTTATTAGTTTGTTGTCCTTCCCCCGCACCTCTGACTGGCATGGTTGGCACCGCACGGTCATGCGAATGGAGTTCAATATACGTAAATTACACTAATATAGACTACAATACACACTAAATACTACACTAAACACTACACCAGACACTATAAACTGCTATACACTATACTACGATACACTACACTATACACTACACTATACACTACGCTACACAGTAATACTATCCACTGCTATTCACTACACTATACACGTACGTACATAGTGACGGCCGCCGTTAAATTTACGTGGACATTTCAAAACCACTTCCCCTTCTCCCTCCTCATCCTCCTCTCCGTCTCTCCTCTCTGTGTCTCCCAGGATGCTGCTGAGGTGGTCTACACGATGGTGACTGTGGCCGGCAAGCAAACCGCCAGTTCTATGAACCGAGAAGATCACCACCACCGCCGCATCATCATCGATGATGACTATTCGGAGCGTGTGATCTACTCCACCGTTACAGGCCACTCCTAGCGCACTTCTCGGCGTTTCTGTGTCGACTCACCACATCTCCACTCATCACATCTTCCGCATACATTGGCCGAGTCTCTATCCTTTTAACTTTTGTCTTCATCACAACTCAACCACGCGTGAGCCCCGGCTAACACGATGGCAATCGCAGAATGGAGGGTGTTCGGGTGGAACGTGAAGGGGGGAAATATTTGGACTCACGAGACCTACACAGCTGGGAACACCACGTGCTATTAAAACAAAAAAAATATATCTACTCAACTGTTATACTATTTTGGGAGAGGTACGTGGATGACACTTTTATCATCTGGTCACATGGCCGGCCTGCTCTAGACCAATTCCTCGACGACATCAATTCCATACACCCAGCCATCAGATTTACCATGGAAGTCGAAAAATATGGTAAGCTACGCTTTTTGGATGTCCTAATCAAAAGGAAACCTGATGGTTCAATGTGCAACTCTGTCTACAGGAAAGCTACCCATACGGATGCTTACTTAAAACCGGATTCCGACCACCATCCATCCCAGAAGAATTCCCTCATCAAGACTTTATACCATAGAGCCCAATGCATCTCCGACCAGGAAGACATTGCCAGTGAACTAAAGCACGCACACCAAGCTCTCAAGGCTAATGGTTACTCCGACTACACAATCCGCAAAGCCATCACTCCAACCATGAAAAAGGATCCTCTTGAGGAGCCATTCAAAACCATCACCTTACCCTACATTGTGGGGGTCACAAAGAATATCTCAAAAATCCTGAATAAACACAATATCAAGGTCTGATTCAACACAGTAGATAAAATCCGTGATCTGCTCCCGTCTGTAAAATATGTGGTTCCAGACATACAGTACCCGGGCATCTACAAACTAAGTTGCCTCTGTGGTAGCAGTTACATTGGAGAAACCAAACGACATGTCTCGGACCGTATTCGTGAACACAAAGCAGACCTTAAACACGGTAGGACCAACACCTCGGCCGTGGCAGATTACTGTTATAATTCAGTGGGCTCACATGACATTGACTTCTCCAAGACAGAGGTTCTCTGCAAGCCATCTGGCTACCATGAGAGATTCGTTTATGAGGCTATCCACATATACAAACATAGATACAATTTCAACCGAGAAGATGGATTCTGGCTTAGCAATCATTGGAAGGATTTGATAAGCTATTTCGGGTCTTAATTGATTGTTCACGCTTACGGTGGCTTTTAGACCGCATCCATTATTTTCGTCTCCCCCCTGCTCTTTTCCGAACATAGATGGACTCGTCCATCTGAATAACTGCCAAATCACTCCCCGTGGTGCTAACGTTAAAAAACGCCACTTTTTCCAAAAATCTTCTTGCTGTGGTTTTCGCACCTGATGATGATTGCTTGTGTTGCAGTTGAAACGTCATGAGAATTTCTTGTTTTATATTTTTATTATTTTATTGTTTCTCTTCTATGTGACTTTACCAAAAGAACCAAGAATACAAGATACTAGTTTTAGAATTTTATCTACCATGCCAAATCTTGCTCTTATTTTATGTTTTTTCCAAAACTCTGGCTAGTTTGTCAGTTAATTCCGCAATATATGGTATTTTAATGGTTTTAATAACATCGCTTTCAGCAGTATTTTTGTTTGATCTTGCTTTGTCATTCAATGCCCTGTAAATGTAAGCATTAATGTAGCCATTTAATCGTAGCGCTTCTGTAACATGTTTAATCTCGCTCCTCAGACTTTCACCATCTGACACTGTTTTAGTGGCTTGATGAGAGAGAATTTATTTGCGGGGTGATGATGCGAATCTGCATTCAGATTGCGTTACTGCCAAATAAAATAAACATGCGAGCGACATGTGAACTTGGGTGTGATAACGTCCCACCGAGCAGAGCTCCGATTCCAAAATCCCTCCCTCCCGTTCCCGACCATCCCATCCCCACCCACGCACCATAGTGATGGGAGCACCATCCGGTCTCCCAGACTTCAATGTTAAAGGCTCCCGTGGACTTCATTGGCAAAGGATCCCATAGACTTAAATATTTAAGGCTTCCATAGACGCCAATATTATAGACTACCTATAGACTTTAATGTTAAAGGCTTCCATAGATGTCAATCTTAAAAGGCTCCCAGTGTATTCTGGTTGTAATATGCGGTTCACAGATAATACAACACGGTATTGATGTTTGATTTTTGCGTGTTTTTTATATTCGGTTCATATAGTCGATCAGACTGTGGTGTTAAATAGCTGGGTAAAAAAGGAAATTTCTACACGTAAAAATACATGTTATACTCATGTCCGATTTTGTCATAGCCGCGATTCAGTGTATTCCAATTTCTTACTTCACCTTAAACTTGATTTTGAGTGTAAGATTACGTGTTTTACTTTATTCAGTGAATACAAACAATGACAAACACAAAAAGGGAGATGTGAGTAGCACCTCAAATGGGGCCACACACGCCAGAGAAATAGAACCACAAAGCCACACGCATAAGGCGTACACAATCAGAACTTCACTCACGCCTATGGCCTTATGCAATCCTGACGCACACACAGTCTACCGATTCCATGTCTGCACGGCGCATCTTCTCCACTGAATTTCAGCTGGGAGGCCAGCACTCAAGCTTCAGCTGGCAGCAGTCTTGGTGAGGTTAGAGTCTTGGGCTGGATCCCCGCACCTGCCCGCTCCCTCTGCTCTACACAAGGCGCCACTCTACAGTATGTGCTGCCTCTGCCTGCTGCGGCTACCCTGTCTCTGTTTTTGAAATCTGTTGAGTTAAAGGCGAGCGATGGAGAAGATCTGGCGGTAATGGGACGAGGATTGGTTTCAACACCCCACCTAATAATGTATTTTGTATTAGAATGCTATCCAAAATTACGTGTTCTGACATGTAGAGATACGTGTCTACAAGTACACATGTAGTGGCATCGGTGGAAGCCACTGCATGAGGTATAAGCCGCCCTGTGTGAGGCACGATGCGCGCCGCTCACACCAGCCACATGCAGTGCCAGCCTCTGGCAGTTAGGGGGCGAGAGTGCCAGGGATGGCGCAGGGGTTCACCTGGAGCCATGGCGCTCCAGGTGAACCCAGGAGGCCTGGTGACCGGAGGTACCGGCCAAGGGGCCCAAGGAGGGGGCTGGGAGGACCACGGGACCAGGACCAGGTCCCTCTCGAAGGCTCGAGAAGGAAGGTGTGGCTAGGGGCGGAGGAAGCCCCGGGACTGCCAATCTAAGCCGAACCCCTGAACAGGTCGAGGGGCTGTTGCAAGACTGATGATGGAAGCCGTCACCCGGAGAAGACCTGCCCAACTACAGGACCTGGACCCGAGCCAAGGTCCGGTCCGGGATAGCCACCCCGTGTGAGCTAGGGTTAGGTAGGGTTAGCTAAGGTTAGCTCAGGTTAGCTAGGGTTAGCTAGGGTTAGCTAGGGTTAGCGAGGGTTAGCTAGGGTTAGCTAGGGTTAGCTAAGGTTAGCTAGGGTTAGCTAGGGTTAGCTCGGGTTAGCTAGGGTTAGCTAAGGTTAGCGAGGGTTAGCTAGGGTTAGCTAGGGTTAGCTAAGGTTAGCTAGGGTTAGCTCGGGTTAGCTAGGGTTATCTAGGGTTAGCTAAGGTTAGCTAGGGTTCGCTAGGGTTAGCTAGCCCGGGGGAGATGCCTTCCTCGGATAGCTGGTGAAGGGACAGTTATACCCCTTCGTGTTTTAGGGCTTATTGTGAAATAAACGTGTTGCCACCAAAGATATCTCTTCCTCCCTCGTGTGAACCACTACACAGGTGACAGGTGGAGACATATGAAACGCAAAAATTGACATTGTAGAATATTGCAGACTGGATGAAAATAATTAACAATATGGTAGGTGCCATTGTTTTATAAACCACTTTTTGTCTTTAGTTCTGCATGGTTCTGTAAACTCGCCGATCTCGTGATGAAGAGCAGCAGCCCCGTGTGTTTTGTCAAAGGCCAATGGTGTCAGTGGTGGCCGTAACCAGCGTGGTGAAGTATGGATAATCAGCCAGTAGTGCATAGATCATGGCTGATGCTAATGTATTAGTCTTCTTCCGTGTGGCTGATGTAGATATAGATGTGACCCGCGCACACTGTGCCTCGGTTCTTCCTGGCCATGATCATCCTCTTTCTACAGATGAACTGTATATAGAACATAAAGAACCAGTGGCATCTACATATGCAGAACAGGAAGAACAAGTGGCATCTACATTTGCAGAATATGAATAAGCAGTGGTATGTAAATCTGCAGAAGCTGAAAAACCAGTGGCATCTGCAGAAGGTGAAGAAGCAGTGGCATCTACATCTGCAGAACTCGAAGAACCAGGGAGAACTACATCTACAGGAGATTATACAACTTCTAAATCCATTATCCGTGTTTAATATGCATGCCACTGGTCGTTCAGGTTTTTCATATGTAGATGTCATTGGTTATTCACGTTCTGCAGATGCCACTGGTTCTTCACGTTCTGCAAATGTAGATGCCAATGGTTCTTCACGTCCTGCAAATGTAGATGCCACTAGCACCATCTATTGCGCCTCGATTGAACTCACGACTCAAACAGGCAACTGGACATATGGACAGGTGTGTTCCAATTTCTGAATGTTCGAAAGCAGATGAGTCCCTGTACTCAATCAGAGCGGCTGTTGTTGGGGGCCCTCTGACAGGCACTGTCTCAGCTCAGATCTGCTTGGCTTTGGAGGTCCGACCAGATCGGGTGCATTTCAAGTCCGGGTGATTTGATCAAAAGTCGTTGAGTGTTATAGTGATGCTGTTCTTAAAAGTTAACATTTTGCGGTGGTGATATGAAAACTACCACGCCTGGTTTATAGGAGGTCGTGGATGCGATCCTGACCCTGACGCCAGCATATATAGATTATGAATGTTCTCCCTGGGGTTACGTGGATTTTTCTCCGGGTCCTCCGGTTTTCCCTCCAGATTTACAAACATGTGCTTCGAGTATTTGGCTGCTATACATTTACACATGATAAGGCACTTAATTTGGCTATCATGTGTGGCGAGGTTGCTTCTGAAAAATAGCTATATTGCTCTAGTGGGCCTTACCTAGCTCTGAGGAAGGAACTGTGTTTGTAAGTCGAGGACTGACAGTTTTCAGAAGAAATTAAAGTATTTTATAATAACTGTTTGTTGTTGTGTTTAGTTTGCTCTCTTTCCCTCAAAACCTCCGATAATCACGGTTGGCTATGCAGGGTGCGAAATAAGTTCAACATACACTATACTATACAATACACACTACACTATGCACTGCATA